TACTACACTTAGTAGGGAGTTATAAGCCGAATAAAATAAAAACATCTGCCCTGAAGATAAGGATAGTGCTGACAGATCAACTTCCAGTTCATTGCGCGCCGCGTCGTCAACCCCCCACAGAGCAGCGTGAAATTGATAAACATATTTCGGAATGATTAGAGAATCCAAGGATATGCCTTTATCCATTTTTTGTAGCAATTCCGCTTTTGGTTTGATGGATATCGGAACATGCTTTCGCTTTGTAGATCCTTTGGTAGCTCCAGAATCGGAAATTCTTTTTGACATAATCGAAAGTTCAAGCTTACTTTTTTAAAATTGCTCTAACAGTCTGCAAAAAATAATAAGCCTGATCAAGTTAGAAGATTAAGGAACAACGTAATCTGCAACATTAACTGAAATAGATAATTAGATAATTTTAGCTTATACTGTCCGTTATACATTAAATGTGCATGCATATACGTATTACGCGTCAATGCGACACATGTGCAGAAAGTTTGTAGCTTTGAGGTCTGGATTATAGATCATTCCTGATTGTGGGTGTCCGAATTAACGATTTTTGACTGTATACTAAAATTAATCGGTTAAACATGATATACGAAAAAAATTTGTCTTCAATTCCAGTTAACACAGAAAACAATTTAATCATCTAGTTATGTCACACCTGCCATCCTCTGAAAGGCTATTGTTAGAAAAGCATTAACAATATACAATCAAAAGTTGTTAATCCGGACTCGTCGGGACTTCGGCGATTCCGGATTATAGATCATCAGTTTAAATCTGGTAAGATGGCATGCAGAAATTATAAAATTAAAAATATGAAACCATAATTTAGGAAATAAAGAACATTTATGATCTAAAGGGTATCAAAATTTAAAAAAAAAAAAAAAAAAAAAAGCTTAATATTTATTTGTTTACTTTATTAAACATTTCTTTCAATGTAAGTTGTTTAAGTTGCTTCGTTTTTTTTATGTGATAATACATTCTCTTTAATTCTATAAACAGACATAATTTCTTCTTCAGTTACAAAGTTCTGCTGTTCAAGTCCTATAGTTGCTGTGTCTAGAATACCGACTAATCTGTCAATCGAAATTTTTTCGTTTTCAATAACCTCTGTCACTTTCTTCGCTATTGGAAGCGAATTATAATGACGAGGAATTTGATTTAAATCATATCAAAGATGGAGTAATAAGCCAAATAAAATAAAAACATTGGCCCTGAAGATAAGGATAGTGCTGACAGATCAACTTCCAATTCATTGTGTGCCACAGCATTAAAGATAAACAAAGTTTAGATAAACAAACGTTAAAGTTTAGATAAACAAAGGATATGCCTTTATCCATTTTTTGCAGCAGTTTCACTTTTTGTTTAATGGACTTCGAAACATACTTTCGCTTTGTAGATCCTTTACATATTAGTAAATATATATCAGAAATTCTATTTGACATAATCGAAAGTTCAAGCTTACTTTTATAAAATTGCTCTAACAGCCTGCAAAAAATAATAAGCCAAATCCAATTCGAAGATTAAAGAACAATGCAATCTGCAACATTAACTGAATTAGATAATTTTAGCTTAGCTTATACCATCCGTTATACATTAAACGTGCATTCGTAAACGTATTTTGCGCACACGCATATTCGCAGCCGTAAAGGTCTTATGCGCATGTGTCAACGCGAAAAGTGCAGAAAATTTGTAGCTTTGAGGTCCGGATTATAGATCATTCCGGATTATGGTGTCCGAATTAACGACTTTTGACTGTATCGTCTTGTTAAAATTTTACGCCATAAAAATTGATTTATTCTCATAATTTTAGATGACAATAACCAATAATAAAATTAAAAGCATTACTTAATTATTTAAAATGCACATGCACATTTTTGTGGTCTACGGAAACAAATTATTTTAGATGTTGGAAACCTCATGGTTCTTAGAGCTGTTAATAATTAAGAACACAACGTGAACAGCCGTGTTACAAATTAGCATTCTCCCCTCCTGCCGTATTCTCTTCCTTTCATCGCGAACCGAGAACCAGCATATATCTACGAAAATATTTTTATCTATTCATTGTTAAAAAATTCTGATAAAATATTAATGAATAAGAAAAGAATAATACACATCTGCAAATGCGAAGAACGACAGTGATAATTTAACAAAATGAACGCACGAGGAATGATTGCAAACTTCGAACAAGCGAATAGGATAAATCCGATAGGTGACCAGGTTTGAACTATCATCGCCAAAGTTGGCGATGTTTACATTTACCGGGTTCTTTGCGGAAGTGCTTCTGCCCTAGGGTTCTGCGTATTTAACCCTTTCAGGATGGGCGTTCCATATACACATTCCCTAAGAACGTGTCTTGCAGCCGGGCATCCCATCCACACATCGCTAGAGATTGCATTCAGAGGACGGGTGATGCGTATACGCAATTTAAGCTGGAACGTTTTTCTGAAGGACACTAGATGGCATCCTATGTCCATTACTTTTGAAATGAACACAGTTTTAGCTTCCTGACCCTGAGTTTGATATATTCTGCTTGACTTTGGTATTTTACTCATCAGCTCTTGAAAGGGGGGAGGGGAAAGCATAAACAGAGGTGAGCTTTTTAAATTGCTGCGTGCTTGTGAAAACATTCGCGTGTCTGATTTATATCCAATTCCTTTTTTATTCTATTTTTTCCTTTACTATGTACAGTCTTTTAGGGTTAGTATGTGGAGTATTGTTACGTTTTGCATTGCCTTCAGATATATTTCCATTTTTTATCTTTTTATTTCGGAAAGCCTCACCTCCAGTATATTATGGCGGGAAGGCGCTAGTTATCAGAGGAAGAATATCCTCGTATGGTCAATGAACCATTTAATTAATGCAGATGAGAGTGATGATTAATTTTCTAAAAAGTTATAAAGTGATACTTTTTCTGAGAGTTAGAAAGTGATACTTCTCCGTGCTTCGAGATTTACCACACTCGGTCTTCATTTTGAATTTTGTTACTTCTTACTGTAAATAGTCTTTATTGTGTTGTTTTATTAATTTTAAACTTTATTGATGGATTTTATCTATTAAAATTTTGGAATAATTTGAATAGCGCTTCCGAAAATTATTTTACAAGATAAACAATTCTTTAAGTATATTTTCATGTAAAATAAAGAAAAAAACGTTATTAAGTGCTAATTTTAATATATATAAGAGCTCAAGTAATAATCTAAAACAATACCAAAAATTGCGATGCTAGAAGCGAAACGTTTTTTTTTTTTTTTTCTGATTTTTTTAATAAAATTAGGCTTAGCGATGCAAAACCTCCGTCTTGTACGGTGACTGCCTTCGATTCCCTTCCGTCCCGCACGAGCGTCTTAAACAAAAGTGCGGCGTTGCGAAAAGGTTAAAGACTTAAAAATTACGCAAGAACACAGCCATACTATTCTAAACTGCCGTGTTATATCTTGGCTATTCACCCCCGCCGATTTTCACCATCTGATCCGGTAGTGACGTACCACTAGCCAGCGGCAAAATGGAGCCCTGAGCAAACGAGAAATATTCTTTGTCTAAAAGCGAACCAGGTTGCTACGAGAAACCAATTCGCAGGGTTACCAGCTTTGAACTTTTATTGCCATTTTTGGAAATGTTTACATTTAACGGATCCTTTGCGGAAGTGCTTCCCAAATATCCTCTTTTATTCAACGGAAGAAGATTAGATAAATTCCCCCAATTTAATTTAATAATGGATGTATACCAATAGCGTACCGAGAGTTGCATTTTTTGGTGTGCAGTTTCCATCATAATGTCAGCATTACCATTGTGCAATTTATCTTTACAGGTTTCTAAAGCATCTAGAACAGTTAAATAGTTTTCTTTTGCTGCATTTTCGTCTTCTTCTTTTTTTTTTTTTTTTTTTTTTTTTGCCAAAGTTGATATTTAACCTTTAAATTGTCAATATTAAGATACCATAAATCAGAAGCCTATATATTTCAAATTCGAATTTTCCTGTATATGCAGATTAGAGAGTTTGTTTTATGGAATTGAATGGAGTGTCACTTCTAAAACATGGGAGCATATTTGATGTACTGTCTATATGAAATAAAATTTCTTTTTGGAGTGTTCATAAAAGAGTAATATTTTTCTATCACACACATGCATGGATATCATTGATGCGACATGCCTATTGAGAATTGCCAGATTGAGTATAGTGTTGAGTTTCTAATTGTCCTTTAAGATCATGGCTGCAGCACCATCATAGCTTTGATTTCCTATGTATGTCAAATTATGTACAGTAGTCCACATTTGTTTTTAGACTGTTGTATTTTTCAGTTTTATTTGTAAATATCGGTTACAGAATAATGGTAAAATAGTTTTTTTTTTTTTTTTTTTTTTTTTCACATAAACTGTTTGATCATGTAATTAACAGTTTTATAACTGGTCACATAAACTGTTGATCATGTAATCTAAAACCTGCTTGTTTTGAAAAAGTTATTCAAAATGGTTTGAGTTTGAAAACATATTCAAAAAGTTTTGAAAATGAACTTGCAACTTCAAACCAGGAGACATAAAAAATGGACCTTTGCCAGAATTCAAACTTGGTTTCTGATTTGCTAGCTGGATATATGTACTTTCAAATTACACCACGAAGGTATGTGAGAAAGAGGGGGAAAAGATATAATACATTCTCTTCAATTTAGAGGGTGATTGGGGAGGAGGTACCCAATCACCAAAAGCTGGCAGTCACAAATTATCTTCCACCACCTTCTTGGCATTTCATTTAAGAGCAGATGTGAAAAGTATGCAGTACTTCTTCGCTCGAACTCAGAACTTCAGACCTTCTGATTTGATAGCATGACATGCTTTTCAGTTACACCACAAAGGTATGCAATAAGAAGGGAGAAAATACAAGTTATGCTGAAAAATTTAAATTACAATAATAAAATAAGGCAATAAGAATAGTTTCAAAAATTAGTTAAAAATATAGTTCAATTTTTTGATTGAATAATATGATTTTCTGTTTCATTTTACAGTGGGAGTCTATTCATCTGAGCTAAAAGCAAGACTGAAGGCTTCAAAAGCAATAAATGAAATGTATGATAATGTTATATTGATGAAATTGGAGTCTTTTAAAGTCTCAGACATTGTTATACACAGAATTCTTGACATTGCCGAGGTATAATAATTTCTTTATTTGTAGAATTTTTATTATTATATCAAAATGAAAATTTGAAGCCATGATATGTGCTTGTATTATTAATTTTCTTTTTTTGTGCAACTTTGATAAAATATGTTAAAAAGATGATTAACATCAAATAGACATAAATAAACAACAACATAAATTGATTTTTAACATAAATAAATAAAAAAAAGTGTTCTTGACAAGACATTTTTACATTCTACTCAAGATTTCTCTTTCAAGGATATTAACAAAGTTTTATCTCACTCACTTACAACAATGGGACTAATTATTTAAAACTCTTCCTAAATGTGATCTAAAGTGCTATCATGATATTAATTATTCCATATCATTACATTACATTTGGGATTGTTCTTGTGTGCAATAGATGGATTTATTTTTCAACAGGTTCAAGGAATAACTATATTTTCTTACTTAAAGTATTGTTGCGTAATTTTCTTTCTTCACTTTCATACGGGGTTTGTGTAGATTTGGAGTGAATAACAACGACACTTTATGAAGTATCGAAACACACTTTATTTAGCCAATATTAATCAAGACAGCTCCAATAACACTTTTTACAGTCGTTGAAGATCTACTATAAACACGCTGGAACAATCAGCGGCACAGCACTGTCAGGCAATAATGGTGGAGATAGCTTCCTACAAAGCACCAGAGTACAGCTTCCGACTCTGTTTGGTCGTTCTTGGGAAGACCACACGCTCTCTCGACAATACACGAGAGTTTAGCTCTCGACTCAGTACAGTCTAAGAAAAAAGTCGACGATACACTAAAAAACTCTCTCGATGCACTCGGCGCTAGACTTCGAGACACTCACTCAATGACTATCAGCTCGCTAGACAAGGCACACACACTCTCTAACTGACTGTGGACCAGCAGGGTTTATATAGCTTTAGGCTTGTGTTCGGGAGCATTGTGGGCTAAGAATTCGTTCCAGAAGGTTCTCCAACCGTCCATGGTATATCGTCAATTTTGTCGCCAAATGGCCAATTTCTCGCCAAATATGGCAACCATGCCATCCTTTGTCATTTTATGGCAACCCTAAACCTGCTTTATGGGGAAGCCATCTTACCACGCCTTTACATTTTGTAACACTGCCCCCTCCCAAGGACTGCACGTCCCGGGCAGTACAACTCTTGGTCAGAAGCATAATTCGATACAAGCAAAAGGTTCTAAAACAAACAAATAATATAACTAAAGAAGCAAATATTTACACTATATACAAGTTATATACACAAATTAGGTAAAAAAAAACCTCATGCACAAGAATTATAGGTACCCAGGATTGCAAAGCATTATAAAAGTTAAATAAAAAAAATCAGTTACATATAGTGAAATAAATGTAAAAGATATGAACTACCATATTTATTTATTACATATCGCCAGTATGTACCCTACGGAATGAGAATCACTAAGTACTATGGCCATAGTATGGGGGTAATCTGTCGTAATGAACGACCTTGGGTTTTGAAGTCTGGGATTTACGGATCCGTATCACAACGTCGTTCAATCTGTTGAGGACTGTATAGGGACCCTCCCAATGCGACTGCAGTTTGGGAGAAACGCCTCTTACGACGACTTGGATTCCAGAGCCAAACCTTGTCGTTTTCCTGGAATTGATGTTCGGTGGCTCTTGCGTCGTATCTCTTCTTCATCCTGTCCGTCAAGATGTTGATCCGCTCTCGAGCAAACCTGTGTGCTGTTTCCAACCGGGCCTGGAGGTCTTGCACGTACTCATCAGGCGAGGAATGTACATCCGGAGGGCGGCTGAAGAGCAGGTCACTTGGCAGACAGAGATTGCGACCGAAGAGCATCTGTGATGGAGAATAGCCGGTGCTTTCGTGGACGGCACCACGGTAAGCAAGCAGGAACAGGGGTAGTTTGCGATCCCAGTCTTCTTGGTTTTTGGAAACCATGAGCGAGAGGTGGTTCAGGATTGTACGGTTAAACCTCTCCACCATGCCATCAGACTGCAGATGTAACGGGGTCGTCTGTGTTTTCTTAATTTCCAACAAGTCGCAGAGTTCCTTGAACACAGCCGAAGTGAAGTTCCTACCTCAGTCCGAATGAATCTGGAGGGGGGTCCCAATTCTGTAACAGAACTTCAGCTGTCGTGACAGCCTCTTGATCTGGAACGCGTAATGGCAGACCGCACATTGAGTTGAACAGTGTTAAGCGAATTTCGCTTACTGCGCATGCTTGATGGTGTACCTTTGGCGCGGGGAGAAATATTGGCGAATAAGCAACCCTATGCTAGCTTATTCACGATCTCCATGGCTGTCGAGGGTGTTCGAGTGATGTTTACAACTGCAATGTTATGGAGCTTTGCTTGTTAGTTATTTTAATTGCACTTGCTTATTTTTCTAATATATGTTTCATTTTAATTTGTCAATAACAGTGCATTTATTATTTGTTAACATATGTTCGTAATAATTCGTTATTTAGATATAATTTGTTTACATATTATAATTCAATAATTGTAAACTGGAGTTTCTCGCTTAATTTGTTAGCGTGTATTCGCGCTTGTATTTTCTCATTTCAAAGAATTTAATAACTAGCATTAAGGAATTGTAAAATTTCTTCAGTGTTATTTGCAAGCACTTTATTATATTCCTCAGTGTTTCTTTATGGAACTTATGGTACAAATATATTTATGAATAGAACTTATGGTAAATCCTGAATTGTTTTTATTGCTTAAAAGTATAATGAATAAATTTTCAACTAATATATCCTAAATTTCACTCTTTTTCTGAATGAAAATTTGTACAGTTCCAAAGGAATGTGCAGAATTTCATAAGCATTATATCTTACATTTTGAATGCAAACACTGCTTCACATTACTTCACAATAATTTCAGCTTTCTAGTTGTTTGAGCAGTACAGCAAAAAATAGTATTTTAACACAGTAATTAATCTAACACAAAGATTTAAACGCCAGATTTGTTTACAATCAGATGGTGGTACATCTACCATATACCGTATTTATCTTCTTTTCAAATCGCGCCAACATAGTAATTACGCCAAATTGTTTTCTAGGCATGCGCAGTATGCAACATTCGTTTAACACTGTTCAACTCAATGTTCGGTCTGCCATTACACGATCTGGAACTGGGTAAGCTTCGGGCCATTTCGTAAAGTAATCCATGACAACGAGGATGCATTTGTTGCCATCTGTGATCCGAGGAAAAGGTCCAAGTATGTCGAGGGCAATTCGCTCGAAAGGCGCTCCTACATTGTATCGCTGCAGCCTTCCTCGGCTACGTCCCTTCGGTCCTTTCCTGGCTGCGCAAGCATCACAAGATCGGCACCACTTCTCAACATCATTTCTCCCCGAACTCCAGAAAAAGGCGTTCTCGGACCTTGTTTAGTGTCTTCATACAGACGAAATGCCCTCTGTTGAGCTGCTGTGTATTTCCTTCAGAACATCAGATATTCGATTTTGAGGAAGCAGCAGCTGCTATCTCTTATTAGTTCCATCGTCACTTTCCCATAGTCGATATAAGACTCCATTGCGGAAGTGAAGTGAATCTCAGAGAGTCTATTACCTTTTAGTTGCAAGACTGAAAATGGAAATGTTCTGCCACCTGGGTTTTGTACTGGATGATTCCTTCATTTCTATTATTGGCCTAATGTCAGGATCCGCTGATTGGTCTTCTCTAACTTTTTCATCACTCCACGGATCTGGATCAGTTGATGTTGAAGATGTTACTTGCCGGATACTCGGATTCGCCAACCCGTGCTTAGCCTCAGCTTTTGAACAATGCCTGCAGTGTGCAGGACAAAGTTTCCTGGATAAAGCATCCGCATTTCCGTGGGAGGAGCCTTTACGATGTTTTATCTCAAAGTCATATTCCTAGAGTCTTTGAATCCATCTGGCTATTTGTCCTTCGGGATTTTTGAAATTCAGTAGCCAGGTTAGAGAAGCATGGTCAGTTCGCAATAAGAATTTTCTGCCATAGAGATAATGATGGAAATGTTCTATGGCCTTTACGATAGCAAGCAATTCTTTACGGTGATGCAATAATTCCTTTCCGGTTTGGACAAGCATTTACTCCAATAGGCTATTACTCGCTCTTGACCATTAATCTTTTGAGAAAGGACAGCTCCCACGCTTTCGTTGCTTGCATCTGTGTCCAATATAAATTCTTTGTCTGTCTGGGGATATGCGAGCATGGCGTAGATGTTAATGCTGTCTTCAACTGATTAAAGGACTTCTCACACTCCTCAGACCACATGAATTTTTCTTTACTTTCTGTTAATTTATGCAGAGGCCTTGCGATGTTAGAGAACCCCTTCACGAATCTTCTGTACTAAGTACAGAGTCCCAGGAAGCTCCGTAGTTGATGAATATCCACAGGACATACCCAGTCCTTAACTGCCGACACCTTTTCTGCATCTGTGCAGACACCTTCGGCAGAGATGACGTGCCCGAGATAGGTAACTTCACTGTGCAACAATTTGCATTTCGAAGGACTCAGTTTAAGGTTGGCATCTCTCAATTTCTGGAACACCTTCCTGATATTTTCTAGATGTTCCTCGAAAGTACAGCCCACTATAATGATGTCGTCTAGGTAGACCAGACAGGATTCGTAAGATAGACCACAAAGCACTGTCTCCATCAGGCGTTCAAATGTTGCAGGGGCATTACAGAGTCCAAAAGGCATAACTTTAAACTGCCAGAGTCCTTGACCGGTAGTGAACGCAGTTTTCTCTTTATCACTGGGATGAATTTCCACTTGCCAGTATCCACTCTTGAGGTCCAGAGCGGAAAACCACTTGTGTCCTGATAAGGTGTCTAGAGTATCATCAATCCTGGGAAGAGGGTAACTGTCTTTCTTAGTGACATTATTTAGTCTCCGATAGTCGACACAAAATCTTGTTGAGCCATCTTTCTTCCGGACGAGAATTATAGGAGATGCCCATATAGACTTGTGAATGGTTCGATGATATCATTTTCTTGCATCTCCTTCAGAAGAT